AAATATACATAAATAAATAAATAATTCCGAAAGAGAGAACTTTCTTTTGCCTTTTTAAAAGGTCACTTTCCAGAATGAAAGAGGCTACTTCACAGACTGGTGCMAGTGCTCCGTTTGCTCACCCGGTCGCAAGACCAGGATCCCCGGGGTGTACCTGTCCTAATGACGGAGGTGGAGCTGGCTTAAGTGTGAGAGGCGTTTAGACCTATCAGGACTTATAAATGCCTTGTAGGCCTAGCAGCAGAACTGAGAGTTGCGCGTCACACAATTTACACCCCTGTAATGTTTTTATAAGTGTGAGCTCCCCCGCACCTACAGGCAAAATATCGGGCCAATTGCATTCTTTGGTTGTCAAATATTGCCAAAATTACCTTGGTAGGCTGGAAAATCTGCCACAGATGGACCAGGAAAGCGATCTTACAATGGTGTGTCCAGTTCAAAACAAGCCGTGACTTGGAGCCATTGTYTTCGAAAAATCGCTTTCCACCTCTGATTTCTTCCAGAAGATTGTCTCTGCCGACTAGTCAAGATTAATGATGCAAGCCTAGGGGCTCCTGTGGCAGCAAAAAGCTCAAAAAACAGTTATTAACGGATTTTTAGGTAAATTTAGGCTCAACCAGTCGATAAACAAACGGCCTGACCTAAATTTACAAAACCCTGCATAAATTAATGCTCCCTAGGGAATTCAAATCCGAAATAGTKTYRTTGACARCAMMTTATATGGRAGTCAATTATTTTATCAAGATGTTAGGGTCGAAAAAGCTCAAAAATCAACAAATTGACATCAGTCGACAATGAGTTAATAGAGAAATAAAACATTTTACACAAATAAAACATTTAACATGGATCAAATAACACTTTAATTTTACTCAATTCACTTTATTGCAATCACTTAGCATTAATACACCGACGCCCGTGGTGTAGTTTTAATTGGTTAATCTTGATCCTATTGAAAGTTAATTGGATTGGAGTGCATAACATACTAATGCGCAAATCGATTAATGGTGTATAAACAAGACAGACAAAAGATGCCAAAAGATGTGCTTGTTGCATCATTCTTATTCCCAACGGAATCTATGGTGAAAAAGTGGCGTCCAATCAAAACAGTTTTATTGAAAAATTTCGATCCGGGTCAAGAGTATATAATTAGATAGCAAATGCGTTGATTTCATATCGATCTTGAATCAACACTCGAAAACTTCTTAAACGCGATTTTAAATTCTAYGTCTCATCATGTCCGATAATTGTTTGGAGTGCAAGGAAATAGTTACGAATAGACAGCACRCGCTGATGTGTGGTGGCTGCTCCCAATGGCAACACAGAGTATGCGGTACTGGCATATCTTTACAGGAGTACAGGAAAGCAATCAAAGAAGAAAAATCAATTAACTGKTTTTGCAATGGCTGTTCTTTTGGAAATCCATTGTCRCAAAGCACGCCAGTCTATAATGAGGGTAAGTSTTTCTTTACTAATTTTTCAATTCGGTTGGTTTAGAGTGCGAAACAGCTTAAAAGAGATAACTTAATTTAAACTTTACCAWATAAATTCATTGTCCATTCGCCTATAGATCTTTCGTTCAATTATTCTGTGCCATCAATCCCTTCATGGGTACCTGGAACTCCTAGAACCAACAGTGAAGGTAATTTCTTAGAATTTGTAACTCACTATAAAATTACTATACTATTACTGTACTATACTATTACTTTACTGTGTAGCAATATCTTAAATGTATGTACTATGAATTTTATGTAGGCTCCTCTGTGGAACCTATGGAAACTTCATCAGCAACTGGACCTTCAATGGATGGCAGTACCCATAGTAAGGTACTGACAAGAAAGCACTTTGATTTAAAACTGTGTGTTAATAATGAAAACGTGAAATACTCATATTTGTACTAACTTCTATTTGTATTTCCAGATGCAACACCAGATGAGCTAGCAATAAGTGATGAATCAATGGATGGCAGTAGCCATGGTAAGCATAAACACACCCTAATGTTATTATTAACCATTATTTCAACCAATTCAACAAACCTAATTGTTTCATTGCAGCTGAATTACCRCCCACCGTCCTTGAGGAGTCATCAATACTTGACCCAGAGCCACAACCAGTTGTACTTACCAATGCACCAGACACCCTTACTTTTGAGATTGTAGAAGGGGCATCAAAACGGGGAGGTCGCCAGCTCATTGACAGTCGTGGTTTCCAGTATAACATTTCKTCGGTTCACTTTTGAGAGTTCAACAGGATTCCACTTAGAAAACAACATTACTAATAATTAATCATTACATTAGGTTCAAGAACTTGGCCTTGCGGTTGCCTACAAAGAASATGAGGGATATCATAARTACATTAGGAAGCTTTTTGCCCTACCATTCATCCCAGAAGAAGAAATCCAAGTGCAGTTTCAGAGACTAGCAGATGATGCCGGAACAGATACCCTAAAGACACTTGTTGGATATATAAATTGCCAGTGGATTGAGAGCACTGTATTTTCGCCGAAAAATTGGTGTGTGTATGGCCAGCCAATACGCACAAATAATGATGTCGAAGGCTGGCTCTTGGCTCTAAATAGCAGGGCCGGTGGCAGGATAAATCTGTCATTGTACGATTTAATTGAGTTACTACATTTAGAATCCTGTCTAGTTGCACTTACATTCAAGTTGGTTTCCGACAACAAGATCAGCAGAGTACAGAGAAAAAAGTACAGAGATTTGCAGGGGAAAATATTTTCAGAATGGGACAAATATCAACAGCGGGAAAGGACAGGGAGGCAACTTTTAAGGGCAATTTTGCTCATGATAAAGCCAAAGGAGAGTAGRAAAGATTGAAATACTAATAAATACTAATACTAATGAACAACAGACAAATTTAGAAAGTGAGTGCATGTCAATAAAATGATTTCAAATGAGAGATTAGTCAACATGATGTAAATGGATGATGAATTTGACMGGTAAAATTGTTAATTGAAATGACACTTTCAAAAAGTTTTCRTCTGTAGTTCATTAATGTATTGGACGGCTATGAAGGAATTTAGGTATTAAATTTATATATATTAATATCCAACTTAACTTGACGCTTCATATCTTTTAAATAACAACGTAGCTTTATTCTTTTATAATGAAACTTTATTAATAAAAACAATTAACTTCTATTTTGAAGTATGTGAATTTTAGTTAGTTTTCTGCCAGAGTAAGCAAGCCGAGAGTAAAACAAGCAAACAAACAAAAATACTTACCAAAAATGCGTAGAAGTATCTGCGGTTTATCCATCCGAGCGTGGCATCAATAGTCATCGCGTTTTCATTTTGTTTCACAGATCCTTTCTCAGTTCCCCAACGGAAAATAAAGTATGAAAGTCGCCACTCACAAAATGACAGGAAAATGTCAAAGTTACTAGGGATGTTTTATTTTTAGAGCAATATCAATGGAATAAACATTTATAAGTCTAATAATCGGACGAAGTTCGGCGCCGTTTTTTCGCCGTGACTGTTAGCGCTAACAGTGCTCGTTTTCAACGATACCCTTCTTGCATGTGAGTTAAATTATATGATGAGTAGCACAATCACCCCTCCACTTAGTGTAACAAATGGCCTTAAAACAAAGTTGTCAGGAATTTGGTTTTCTTTATATATTCTATTCTTGGCTTGCACATGACGTCATCAGTCGAAAAAAAAACTAAAATCACAGACACACAACATTGTGGTACTGAAATATCTTGAAGAGAATGATAGAAGTTCACTATGAATGTTTAAACTTTGTTTACTGTTTATTCGTTGAGTTATATTTAAAAAATTAAGATAATAATGTACAAAGCTTAGCAATGAAATACTTAAATCTTAAGTTTATCATATGAATTACAAATCAAACGTTTTAGGCTGTGTCATCCTGCCCGTGACTATTCATTGTTTTCAAATAATTAGCTTACGTACCGAGACTAAATCATTAATTTCATCGCTAAACCCAACCCAAACCTTACCCTAAACCTAAGCTAGAGCTAGCTAACCAAGGACTTTTGTTCAGTAATTCTGTATTTGTTTTTTCGCAAACGGACATTTTGACTTCCACTATTTACACGGCAGCCGGGCATGTAAGTTGAGACAGACACTTCGAACTTTATGTCGCCGTTGTTAATTTACATGTAACTAAAGCTGAAGCTTTTCCTTTTATAAATTTCGATGTCTCTCTGAACTAATAAGCTTATATGTTTATCAATAAACCTTAATCCGCTTAACAGTGATTGGAAGAAAAGCACTGGAATAATTCTGCAAAACTGCAAATCAAGAGCGTAAAGAATAATCAAAAGAACAATGTGGATTTCATACTTCAACAAAGGAGCTCAAAACAAAGTTATGATATGCCAATTCACTTGTTCTTTCAATACATGAAGGCATTAGCTACTCAAATTTTTCACTAATAACTTATCTTGTTATTTAATACTACTTTTTTAATCCAATTTAAATGTTGAATTGCATTTTTCCCAATATTATTCTTCAATATTGTTCTGATTTTTTATGATCACCTATTTACATGTTTTTGTAAATAACTTATCTAATGTGCTAATAAAATGTTCAAAATACAGCTGACCATCTTGCAAAAGCGGCTCTTACAATCTCCGAGTTATGTTGCCATTGGCAGCTTGATTTAATCAATTTTTGAACTTATTTATACAAGATTTAGAAAGAAGTCATAATTTCTTCATGCTGAGTTAGAGAAAGTTTGTAAATTGTCTTCCTTTTTGTCTTCTTCTTAACTGCCACCTCACTACATATGTGTCGTACTGTGCCTGCATACACAACAGCCAGAAGCTTGGTGTCTAGAGTGTAAGTCATATCGTGTAGGTTTTCTCTTAGATAGAAGTGACCATTTAATACAGCACTGCCTCTTGGAGAGTGACTAGAATAATCATCTATCAGAGAGTCCTCCAGCTCTACAACACCCTCAGAAGTCACTTGTAGCAAATAGAAGTCATATACAGKATCTTCACATGCAGCGATTGCTACAGTACTTCCTTTAGCAGCCAGATCTGCGATATGTAGTGTAGTGTCATGGTTTAATGCAGATGATTCAGAAGCTTGTCTTGTGGTTGCTACTGAACCCTATCTGGTGATGTCCACATCCTTCCAATCGTCCATCCACTCTTGATTTTGGCAGTGATCCTCGTCCTCCAAGATGCAGTTTGCACAATAGCAGGACCTCTTCCTGACTTTCAGCTTCTCTTGCTGTGCCAAAGACTTCACACAGTGCCACTGACGAATTCCTTTTACTGGTTTGAAGTGCCTGTCAGGTCTGTTCCTTGCTACTGAACCATCCCCTGTGATTGGGACAAAGAAAAACACTCGACGTTTCAGCTCAACTTCTTTTGTTCTAGAGTGAAAGCTGCTTGCTGCTGGAAGAGAAAATTTTTCCAAAAGAAAATCATACATGCTTTTGGCACTGGTTATTCTAGCTGTTCCTCGCAACACTGCCTGGCTGACCTTTTGCTTTATGTGTGAACCTGCTGCATCTTGCTCACCCTTGGTGTGCGAAGTCAGCCAGAGAGCATGATAAGTCACCTAGACAGTGTCGTGACTTGTACTGTGCAGCACAGCCATCTGTAAACTCATGTAGTTTCTTCACTTTGTAATCTAGGTCATCTTTGAGGTATACCATAATTTGTTTCTGCACATGGTGTACACTGTCATTATCTTGTGTTGGATCATCAGATATGACAAACAAGTGTTCTTTGATTGTGTTGGGCTCTTCCTCAGTGCTAGAAATACCATCAATACCATCAATAGCTTCAACAGCATGCCGATAAAGGATGGACACATGGAGAGATACTTTGGCAACATCAAAGTATTCACTTTGTATTTCATCTTGCTTTCTACAGGTGT